TGTTGATACATTTTCTCTATGAATTCTAAAAATTCGCCATCGTGTGCTTCGTCTTGTACTATTGAATATTTAACTTGAAGCGTTGAAGTGTTGATTAGTGTTAATGAACTCAGATAAATCAGACAGAAGTGTAGAATACTATGCTGTATGAGCACCATATCTGCGAATAAAGTTTATTCAAAATTACAAGTGAAAATTAAACTTTTGATAAATTTACTCTAAGAATTAATGTTCTTGATTTAAATACTTAACTGATTGATGTACAATATATCAAAAGTGTTTATTATTGCGATTTTTTATATTTTGTGTGCTTCACTGGGGTAGACCGAAACCAATAGTTTGGTTTTGGACTTACACTCTGTGTAGATACTTGCATGAGATACGTTTTCCATGTTCAAAATAAATCAACATATATTTAGTGTTAATTGATGTCGAACTGATTCAGAACTGCAGTTAAAAGTAATTAATGAGGTTTGCGTGTAATCCCTATATATGGAAAAGTAATTTTTTGTTAAATTATTTAAATGAAATTACAATAAAATTTTTTCAGCAAATCAGGTCTCAAGTGTTTGGCAAGTTACAATGCTCATATATTTTAAAATAGTCGTTTCCATATAATTAATAATTGTTAATATCTTTTGATATACGTGCAGTACTGATACTTATTGTTGGCATGAATCAAACGAATGTTTGTGAAAACTGCTTTATGAAGAACTATTTTGGATTGAACAGTAAAAATTGTAGTAGACGTGTATGGGATTTATGGAAATCCTCACACATTTAATTGTACAGGCCCGATTTCAGTAAGAGCATAAAGCATATTAAATCAGAATATAATCTGAATAATTATCTATCTAGTGTGAAATTTCGCAGTTTATTTAAAAGTAATGTCTCGTTGAAAATTGTTTTGTCGGTATTACTTAAAGTTATTGTATGCGATTCAAGTCTCAGATCCATATTTGAAAACGGATTTCACGAATGCATTGCACACATCAATCTATGCCATCTATCTATAGATGGCTTTGGCGGTGTTACTGGAGTAATTGTCTGTAATATTACAAAATGGTGTGATGATCGAAATTACTGTAAAAGGTAATAGCATTGAAGAAGTCAAATTGGTTTCAATTTGGTGTAATGAACCTCCGAACCTCCGGTGCCTAACCATATCGGATTGTTTTGGCCAATGATAGTCAGTTTTTTAAAACATTTCAACACCAGTCTTGATGTCAATTGATGAAAATTGATAGCCTTTCTTGCTGTCTGACTACCAATTAAGATGGCCATTGTATGGTTCTTGTAGTTACGTTCAAAGTTAAGTATACACATCTGTTTTTTACGTAAATTTTTGCTCGAAAGATAGTTATTTTCACCCTTTTGAAGTCATTCAGCTTCTTGACATTTTCCTTCTTTATGCATATGGACAGGTTTTCAGCCAAACCTGTAGGTCAGTTTGCAGTTGTTGGGCTGAATCTGAAATCGCCTGCAGAACTATAACATTGATACACATCTTCAGCAGATTACTATTTTGCATATAAAAAAACTGAAATACAAATATAATTGTTGCGAAATTGCCTTCAACATTTTTATTCGATTTGTTTAGTCTCTGAGGTCTGTGGACACTCGACGATAATTTGTTTGATGGAAATCTGTGGTAAAATGATATGTTGTTTCTGTCTTTTTTATTAATTTTAATAACTGAACTGCTTAATTTCAAAGAGTAACATAATCTAAAAACTATCGATAATTACAAGTATTTCTAATGTCAAAAATTATTTGTTTTAATAATAAAACAATAGTTACCAATATTGTGAATTTAATGAAATCATTAATGCAAATAAAATCGTGTTATTATAAATAATGTTGATATAAATGCACGCTTTTGAAAGCTTATAATATATATCAAACTTTGACTTTTTTGTTTTTATTATGCCATCAACTTAAAAAAATCGGTACTGCCCTTATTTCATGTCTTTTAAAGTAAAATCCTCATCATTTAACATATTAATTATGTTAAGTACAGAGAAAAATGCTTTCGTCACCTAAAGAATGCTTTAATTTAATATAACTTATTACTTTAGCAGAAGTAGAGGAATTTATTGCCAATCCAAGTAATATAATTATACTTTAAAACATATTTCAATCAACAATACTTAATTCCGCCTGAGTCATTCATTTTGAAAATATTTTTGATTCTTCCACATATTCTAATGAAACTATTTCTAAAGAAGGCCAAATTATTGGTTCTAATTAGAATGCATTTAAATCTTAAAGTGGCAATTCAGAATCAAAAGACCTTATAGATCAGGAAAAATTGGGACATATATTCTTCTTCTAGGTGCCTTGTCCGCTTCGAACGTTGGCTAACATGATTGCTATTTTGATTTTATCTGTAGCTTCTCGAAAAAGTGATCTTGTAGTTTTATTAAACCATTGACGTAAATTCTTCAGCTAGATATCTTTCGTCTTCTAGGGCCACGTATACCTTCAATTTTGCCTTCAATGATTAATTTTAGTAGTCCGTACTTTTTCGGATGCCTCAGAATATGACCAAAAAACTCCAACTTTCGGCGTTTTACTGTCTCTAATATTTCTGTCTCTTTGTTGACACGCTGAAGTACCACTGTATTTGTAATTTTTTCTGTCCAGCTTATTTTGAGCATACGTCGGTAGCACCACATTTCAAAGGGCTCGAGTTTGTTCATCGATGCAACAGACAGCGTCCAGGCCTCTGTCCCGTAGAGGAGTATAGAGAATATATAGCACCTCTTATTCTAAGCGGTAATGACAGCTCCCGGGTACACAGCTAGTTTTTCATTCTGATAAAAGACGACCTGACTTTTTTAATTCGGATACGTATTTGTTTACTATTATCCCATTGCTCATTAAGCTGACATCTCAAGTAATTGTACTTATCGGTTCTTTACAGACAAACCATGGAGCATTGGTAATTGTTCTTATGATGTTGTTTCGATATCGTTGTATTATCTGTCGATTTGACTCAGATGTGCAACCCCAGAGTTGAGATTCGTAGGCCCAAATTGGACGTAGTACCTGCTTATATATTATTTGCTTGTTTTCGATTGGCATAACGGAATGTCATCCAAGTAGCCACTTAATTGAGTTGAACTTAAGATTTAGTTCTTGACTTTTTTTTTTTGACGTGTTCACACCAACAAAGTCTCGTATCAAGTGTCATGCCAAAGTATTTAGCTGTATTTGCATATGGAATTTGTTGGCCATCAATATACAGAGGTATATTTTTAATTTGCTTATATGTGAACATAACATGTACAGTTTTCAAGATATTTAGTTTTATTTTCCACTCTGGGCTAATATCACTCTAGCACATGATTGAGAGCGGCTTGAACGTTCCTTGTTGCAATGCATTCGGTATTTTCCACTGACAGTAGAGCCATATTGTTCGCAAAAGTTACAATTGTTGTGTTACTTAAACACGGAATATCATGTGGAACGCCCGCTTTTATTGCACATATATACGAATATATGTTTTCGCATTTAATTCTGAAGTATCTCTCAGAAAGATATGATTCTAGAAGTATTGCGTAGTCCATTGGCAGGATCATTCTTATTTTATGTATCAGACCTCTGTGCCACACTTTGACGTTTTAAATATGTATATGTAGTCTAGGCGTCAGTTCCGCTGAAATGTTGTACGGAAACCCGTTACGTGTTCCAGGACAGCTGTTGTCACAGAAATGCCAAAAGCCAGGTGAAACCGATTTCGTTTCATCACTTCGTAATGCATTGGCTCAACTGAAGACAATCAACGGCAGCAGACACGGGCATCACCCAGTCTATGTTCCGAATGACCTCCTAACCAGCAAGTTTGTGTTCGTGCGTGTCGATCGGGTGAGAGCTCCATTGGAACAGCGGTATGAAGGTCCGTTTCAAGTTCTTCAACGAGATGAAAAATATTTCGTAATTAACAGAAGAGGGAGCAGGTGCACCGTCTCGTTAGACAGATTAAAACCAGCTTATTTGACTAACGATGAACTTACCGGCAAGCAGTTTTCGCCACTTCCTTTAGTCAATCATGAGCGGAAACAAGCATCCGAGAAGAAGGTTCTTAAACCGTCGGCCGTTTCTTCAAAGGTTTCGCGTTCTGGCCGAACAGTGCATTTCCCAGCGAAGTTGTGTGACTACCGCGAGTAACTTCTCTTCATGTGTAGCGCGTCGTCGCCCGTACTCCGTCGCTAGGAGGGGGGTACTGTGGCGACCTAGTAGGCTACGTCATTAGTTATATCGGCGACTGCAAACTGCGCCTCAATTTGCGCGAACCAAATTTCTGGTCTTTCGTGCCAAAATGGCGGTACCTTGACGGACACACGATTCAGATTACCTTCTCGTAATTCGTTCTCTCGTTGCACCGCTGCGGCTTCGTTGCTCGTTGGCAAAGACATGATGTTTGAAAGTGTTGCTCGCAATAATATATTTCAATTAATTTTGAAAAACGTAACCGTTCGTTCAGATCACGTCGGGGTCACCAATTTAGCTAGGGTCTGTTAACCTTGCTAATAAATAAAACTCTCAAAATTTATGATGTTAATAATCTTTTAATTAAACTTTTTACACGAGAGAAAAATGGAAACGTTTTCCACAATCTCAAACAGAAACTAGAAAATATTTAAAATTGAATTTTCCTTTTTAAATTCAATAAAAGCATAGCCTACTGGGTCGCCACATAACTATTATAACGAGTCATGTTAATATATATTACATATTGTCAGTCATACCTGACAGATTGTAATAAAATAAATGAATTACAAAAAAAAATAAAAAAACTATAACTTTACAAAGTATCTGCTTATAGAAACGAATATTTGCAAACAATTACACAAATGAGTAAATATCTGGTAAAATATTCATTTTTTATAAATGTTTTGCAATATTTTAAAACTATGTTTTAATTGAGTTTTTTCAAAATAATAAACAATATCTCAAATTTAAATTCAATTTAGAATGAATTAATATCTTAAAATTTATAAATTTTTCAAAGTATCACGACTTATGCAGATTTCCATTATCAGAACCAAGATACTGAGTAGACAGCTACATAACAAAAAATAAAATATTAAGTCGATGTCTTCAAGTTTGAGAGCACTCAGTTGTTCTTGCTTCTTATATTCGAGTTTTTCATGTGGAATATGATTATGTGCAGTATAATCGTAGTATGAATTGCGCATCCAAAGTTCGAATAATCCAAATGCTTGTAGTTGCAAAACCATCTCTTTAATTACTTCTTCATATACAGAATTTTCTTCCAATGGTATGCTCAATGGAATACTTGTTTCACACAGCTCACGATTAAATCGAAATATTGGACGAGGAAATGATGATTGCATTGAATTTATTAGTGGCCATTGCCAGCTTGGAATAATGTATGTGAAATTATCATTAAGCCCTAGAAGAGCTTTCTGATATTCTTCCATTGATTTTGAAAATGTGCATTTTTCAGCAAATTGTTTCAGCTTAGAATTGATTGTATCATATATTTGTTTTGGGATTAAAATTTTATTTGGTGATTTCACAAAATCATCCATGTTACGAATGCGAGCTTTATAAGGAGGACGTGTTAAGTACGTTTGAAGAGAAGCTTGATGGAAAGTGCTAAAAATATATCCAGTGAGAAGTAGATTCGATGTAATAAACACTGTTAGCCAATTGACATTCGTAAAATTGAATGGAAAACTTTGTCCCAACAATCCACGAAATACCTGTTCGTGTATTACGATATCGGGTAATTGATATTTAAACATATGATTAGTTTGCTTGTATTTAAATCGCACTAAATGTAATAGGATAGCAAATACACTATAAAGACCAATCAAATACAATGTCGTATAAGATAGAATTAGTTTCAATAAACTTTCTCGTACTGTCAATTTAGCCTCAATTGGTATTAACAAACAGGGTTTTGTCACAAAAATTGGATATGAATACGATTTATATTTATCAATACATCTGAAAAAAGTTGACGCCGGTATATCAATACTTTTGTTATTCAAAAGAGCGCTTATCTCAGTATATGAAACTGTTTGTCCTCTCTTTGTAAGATCTGACAACTCTAAAGTAGCATTTAAGTATTGTGCAATATAATGTATAAATGTTCCTAAATAGCCCGCTAATCGAAGTTGGCCTGTCGGATCATTGTATAACAATGTGTTGAAGGGTTTTTCATCGTGAATCGTTCGTAATGAATAACCGAAATGGTTAAGTTTGTTTCTATCCTTATCATACACTCCATTGGAATTATTTTTGTTATAGTGGATTGATTTAACTTGAATTCTGGGAAAAATTAAAAATGTATAATAAATGTTATATTGCAAAGGAAAATTTTGATGAAGTGCAACCACATGTGACATATGTTGATCCTGACAATATTGAAATATCTCATTCAAATAAGGTATGTCGTAAAGAGCTGTGTTGTTAGTTCCATTTCGTGCAAAACGTAAGATGATATGACTGGACCGCTTCTGATGAATATTTTGGGAAAGAGTGTTGAGTATTACTTTGTTTTGTGGCCTTTGGTTCTGGTTCCCCCAATTCTTCATGCAAACCACAACGAGAAAGTGATTATTAATCACTTCTTTTAGTAGAAATGTTTGATGTTCGGTTAGGAGAAGGAGTGGAAATTTGTCCTTTAATTTAGCCACGTCAACACAACTATGATCTTTATGGGATAATACAACAAGAGTTGAATATGCTTCTTGTTGATACATTTTCTCTATGAATTCTAAAAATTCGCCATCGTGTGCTTTGTCTTGTGCTATTAAATTTTTAATTTGAAGCGTTGAAGTGTTGATTAGTGTTAATGAACTCAGATAAATCAGACAGAAGTGTAGAATACTATGCTGTATGAGCACCATATCTGCGAATAAAATTTATTCAAAATTATAAGTGAATATTAAATTTTTGGTAAATTTACTTTAAGATTTAATGTTAACTGATTGATGTACAATATATCACAATTGTTTATTATTGCGATGTTTTATATTTACTGTGTCTCTCTCGGGTAGACAGAAAACTTTGAATATTTACTTGTATGATATACGATTTCCATGTTCAAAATAAATCTACATATATATGAAATGTTAGTAGTTAGTGTCGAACTTATGTAAGAGTTCAGTTAGAAGTAGTTAATGAGGTTTGCGTGCAATCATTGTGTGGTTTATATATTTTCAGAGTTTTTTAACGATTGTTTTTAAATTTGACATAAAAAAGTAATTATTTGTTTAAATATTTAATAAATTTAATGAATATTTACTAATATATATCCTCAATACTCACATATTATAAAAAAATCATATCCATGTTGTTAAAAATGGTTAAATATCTTCTGATACACGTACAGAACTGATACTTATTCTTAGGATGAATAAAAGCAATGTTTGTGATTTATCAAAAACTATTTTGGATTAAACAGAAAGAATTGTAGTAGACGTGTTTTAGACTAGTAAAAATTAATTTAGATATGTAATTAGAAATCAGCTTATGCTAAGGTGTAAATCTAACATGAACAGTATTTTCTTATGTAGGCCTGATATCAGTAGGAGCTTAAGCTGCCCACGTAGAATCTCAGTTAATAATAGTCTAGTGTTAAATTTTGCAGAATGTTAAGTTATTTTTTGGTCTAGTTGAAATTGGTCAGTCGACACAGGGTTTGTAGGTTTTAATTAAAGCCATTGTTAACGACCCATGTTCCGAATGCATCTACCAATCTTTGCTGCCGGTGGCGGTGTACTCATCAGGATATATTAAGATGCAGCTGTTTCATGATCAATGTGAAATTCACTATGACGTGTATTGCACGTCTTCTGTTCAAATATAGTTCGAGTTCAATAGATTTTGAAAACTATCAAACCATGTAATAACCATGTAATAATAAAACAGGGTCAAAAGATACCCGGAATTTCTGTTTTGGAGAATTTCCAGTATGTGAATTGGGCTCAAAATATATACAAAAGAAAACCCATTTTATAACCATATTTACGGAAAATTTCATTTTAATGTTTCTACTGGTTTAGAAAATATCGAATTTTAATTGCCTTATTTTTATTTTGATGCACTATGCGATGCTTTTTCAGAACTCTGCAGGATAGATAACGTAATAGGTTTATAGTCCATTAATGTAGTCCAATTGCTGCCTTCGGTGCACTGAATTCGAATCTGGATTGGTATGCCACGGATTCCGTTGTTTCTTTAAACTATTTTAAAAAGTCAATTATTTTACCTGTTGCATTGGTTTATTGAGCCTAATTAGTGTTTCTATATTTTTTTAAGTACAACCAATGTTAAGTTTATACTTACATTAAATTGCGTGTACTGAGTAGTTAATTTTTACTTTTCTCCTTAACTTAATTTCACTCCACCAACATTTTCTTTTTTGTCACATTGTACAATTCGTGTTTTTTGTGATGATTGGCACAAAATTTTATTCAAATATTGAAGAAGTTTTTATGACCTCAATTCATGCTGTGGGTTCAGTTTCAGAAGCTCTTAGTACTACGATTATGAAGCACATTGGATTGTTATAAAAAAATATGAGTCCTAATAACTTATATAAGGCATATAGTTAATTGTAATAGATCAGTCGAAGTATTTTAAGGATTCATTGCCAGTCAATGATTATCCAAATCAATCAAGCAAAATAAAACGTTTAAATATATTGTAAATATATTTACATTTTGTAACAAATGCAACAAATTCAAAATTGATTAACATTGTTCAAAAGTTACGAATTGGTCACTTAACTATTAAGCCTCCGAACAATGACCTATGTCATACTATGTGATGATATTATGAATTGTGACAATTATGGGTTTATTAAAGAGATAAATGAAACTAATTCTTCTTGGTAATCATCTGCAAATAAATAAAATCTATTTATAAGTGCGCTAATAGAACACAAATATTATATATATGATCCCAGGTAAATTGTTAAAGATAACAAAACACAAAGTATTAAAGCCATTAGCTGAAATGGTAAAAAAATATTGAATGGACTTGTTTTTAATATCATCTGATGCCTTATATATTATATATATACAAATATAAATATAAATCATTTTCTTCTCAGTAGACACGGTAGAAGCTGTTACAAACTTGAACTTAATATTACAGTGCTGTCTCTAGAACGTAATACGAAAATAACTATAGCACAACAGAAATTTTAATATGACAGAAATCATTAATGAACTCGATATGCAAGTAGAGTTAAACAAAACTCCTACAAAAAAAAGTGTATTACCAATACAAACTTTAAAGTTACAGCTGTTTCAGAATCCGAATAAATAGACATTGCTTATTACTGAAATTTTTCTGCCAAACAAAATTATATTACTATTAAGAACTATAATGTCTATCTATCTATCACGTTGAAGCAATACTCCGCGGCAAAAGAGGCGCTGCTGTTGCTGAGCAGCAGCACAAAATTTAAACTTACAGTTAGAATATGCATGACCCGAAGCAATATCTAGTGGTGGTTCCGGTTCATGTCATCCTGGAAAGAGGAAATGAGTATCGTGAGCCCCTCACCACACACAAAAAGATGTCTCTGTGGGTGTGAAAAGACATTTTTGTTCCCAAGCCTCGAATAAAAAAAAAAATAAAAAAAAATACCATTTATCCTAGTTTCTGTGCTCCATAAATGCTTGGCAAAGAGCTTAAATTAAGATGGCGACAATATGTGGAAATTCGATGATGTCATACGCTCGTTAATTAGTGTTCTTTAATACGAGTAGTCAGTCATATACTGTATTGCAATTTACTGTACTGTTGCCTGCAAAACACTGCAAAACGTAAGATAACATGATTTCAGCGTTTTTGATTTCTGGAAATTATTCCAATTCTTCATACAAGGGACTGTGAGAAAGTGATTATTAATTCAAATTTTTAACAGAAAAACTTGTTTGTCTTTTAGCAGAACTATAGGAAACTAAGTCCTCATTTGCTTTACGTTAGCGCATTTATCAGTTGTGGGCGGTAATGTAATGAGAGTTAAATACTCTTGTTTCTAACACATTTTTTCTAAGAATTGAAAAAATTTCTCATCTTTAGATTTAATGTTCGATATCGAATTTTTGACTTGAAGCATTAAAGTGTGGATTGGTGTTAATGAGTTTATATATGATAGAAGCAAGTTCAGAATGATGTAATGTTTGAGTACCAGTTTCATGAATTAATTCTATTTAAATTTTGATTAGGAGTGCAAGTTTTGATAAACTAACTTTAAGAAATGTTTGACAAAATTTATGTTATATATATAATAATATTTAATACTTTTAATTGTTGCGATATTTAGTTTTTTGTATGTTTCATTCGGGAAATATGAAACTAATAGTTTTATTGTATTATGAAGGTTGCATTAGAAATACTGATAGTTCTTTATAAGACATATGATTTCTGTGTACAAAATATTGTAACATAGTCTTATATTGTTTTTATTTATGTAAATAAAAATATAATAATGCTAATTATTCACAGAGCTAAAAAAAGTGGGAATACAAAATTGGAGAAGAACGGTGACATATGGCGAAAAACGAAATGATTTTTTACAAAACTGTATTGCTAAAAAGGAAAAAAACGTTTATATTAAATTGTTTTTATAGTTCTAGAATTTTTTAATCACCAAAAATCTAATCATACTCACAATTGAAAACACAAAAATTCCGATGAGGGATACCCTGATTGAGGAATTATAATTTCGTCGGTGTAGAACTTTTGTGGTTTATCTGCGAAGAGTTTAGCGGAGTAATTTCAGCGATTTTTCGTTTGGCTGAAATTTTGCCATTAAGAAAGTTTTGCAGAGATCGAAATTAATGATAGTCGGATGGAGCAAGGTCCAGGTTATAAAGAAATATATTAAAAACTTCCCAACCATTAAAAATGTTTGTGGTTTGGCACTGTTATAATGAAATTTAACTTATTTTCTGTTGGTTAAATTTAGTCGCTTTTCCTAAATTGTTTCATCAAGCGTTCGAGGTGTGAGCACTACAGAACAAAACAGAACGTTGCACTATGCTAGAGTACCACATAGCAGAAAGTTCCTATCTAAACTCACCAAACATTCAACATAATCGTGCTTAACGTTGATATAAGTCTTGAAGTCTTTTGTGGGTATAGGTCACCATCCATGATTGGCGGCGTTAAATGTTATCATATTAAATTCATTTTTCATCACCCATTATGATTCGATTCAAAAATGGTTCGATTTTGTTGCGTTTCAGCAACTTCTAGTGTTGTTTATTCGATTAATCACATTTATACTCAAACTTCGTTTTTGCAAAGCTTGCTCTTTTTTAATGATTCCGTTATCTTTTGTCAGCTTACGTGTCGACTTTGCTCCATAAGTTGCAAATTTTCACTTACATTTTCAGTGACTAGCCAACTAAAGCGAAGTGCATCTTTAATATAAAATTTTCCGGAACGGAATCGAACAAACCATTTAAAGTTGCGGCATATTTTTGTAGCAGTTTTATATTTGTTATGGTAATAAAGTATCAAATTGCGTATTTCTTCTAATAATCTACGAATCAAACGAATCTTCACCTTCAGTCCATAAAGTCATCTTTCAAATACATATTTGTTCGATGTAATCGGATTAGTCTTCCCAGATATATTGGTACTGACAACATCTAGTTACACAAAATGGCAAATACTGCTTATATGTTTAAGTGTTCTTTTATAATTTAATTTTAATAAAGAAATCTGTCTCGAATTC